AAATGGTAGAGGTACTTTAAAAAACAGTTTGAGGCCCGGTGCGGTGGCTCACGCCTGTAATCCCAGCACTTTGGAAGGCTGAGGCAGATGGATTGCCTGAGCTCAGGAGTTCATGACCACCCTGGGCAACATGGTGAAACCCCGTCTTTTCTTAAAAAAATATGAAAAATTAGCCAGGTGTGGCGTGTGCACCTGTAATCCTAGCTACTCGAGAGGCTGAGGCAAGAGAATTGTTTGAACCTGGGAGGTGGAGGTTACAGTGAGCTGAGATCGCACCCCTGCACTCCAGCCGGGGCGACAGAGACTCCATCTCAAAAAAAAAAGTTTTATTTTTCCTCAAAATATTAAACATGGTGGTACCAGATGTTCTAGCAAATCCACTCTTAGGTATATGCCCAAGAGAATTGAAAACATGTCCACACAAAAATTTATACACAAATATTCATAAGCAGCAGCATTCATAATAGCCAAAAAGTAGAAACAACCCAAGTCTATCAACTGATACGTGGACCAAGAAAATGTTCAGTAGCCATGCAGTGTAATATTATTCATCCATAAAAAGGAATAAAATCTCGATACATGCTACAACATTGAAAACTTTATTCTGAGAGTAGCCATACACAAAAGACCACATATTGTATGAAATAACAGAATAGGTACATTTATAAAAACAGAAAGTAGGCGGGCATTATGGCTCACGCCTATATAATCCTAACACTTCGGGAGGCTGAGACAGGAGAATTTCTTGAGTCCAGGAGTTCAAGACAGCCTGGGCAACATAGTGAAACCCTATCTCTACAAGGAAATTTAAAAATTAGCCAGGTGTGGTGGCACAAGCCTGTGGTCCTAGCTACTCAGGTGTGAGGCAAAGCAATTACTTGAGCCAGTTTGAGACTGCAGTGAGCTATGATTGTGCCACTGCACACCAGCCTGGGTGACAGAGCAGGACCCTATCTCTTAAAAAAAAAAAAAACAGAAAGTAGATTAGTGGTTGCCCAGGGTTAGGAGGGCTAGGAGGAAGGGAGAATGAGGATTGTCTGCTAAAGGATATTGTGTTTGTTTTTGGGGTGATGAAAATGTTCTAAAATTGATTGTGGTGTTGGTGGCACAACCTTGTAAATATGTTTAAAACCACTGAATTGTATGCAGTAAAGGGGTGAACTTCATGGCATATCAATTATATCTTCAAAAAAAAGCAACTTAATATGCTTTTCGGTGTGAGTTGGGTTTGAGGAATGTGAGAAGAGGTTGCTGACTGAGTTGGAGGGTTTGGATGAGTTTGGTTGAAATACCCTAAGAGCATGTCAAGTGACTACTAAGAGCATTGAGGGCCCAGTTGTGATTGGATACCATACATTTATAGTAATAGTCTTTGTTACTTTTTTCCTCCACCATCTTGAGCCAAAACTCAGAGTTGATCTACTTCTGGTGTATAGAAAGTTGTAGTGCAAGGGAATGGAGTGTTGGCAAAAGATTCTTTGCAATGTAGCCATGGAATCTAAGCTGGACAAGGGTCAACGAATAGAGGTTTGTATGGTTAAAGGTCAGTTGTAATAGGAGTAATTAAGAGAGCTGAAATGACAGGAGATGGTGGTAAGAGATTTTTGGGTATGAGGTTGATATAACCAAGTAACCTGACATTTTAAAGGAACCAAGGGTTTTGCATAAAGGCTGTTGTATGGAAAATGAGATGGGCAGAATCCCACCTCTCAATTCTGAGGTATGTGGTTGGAAGAGAGGGTGGCGGGGAAGGAATATGCTACATCTCTATGAAAGGACTTAGGGAAGTGAGGGTAGCGTGTGTAAAGTAAGAAAGGGCACTTGAAAAGAGCCAGCCCCAGAAACCAGAAGTACAGATAAGCTTCCAACACTGTCCAACACATTTGGAATAACATAGTCACGTTGGTGCGATCATCCCTATTATTAAGAAAGATTACTAGGACAATCTACCTGAGAACATTTCTTAAGTTAATTTCCTTCGTTCTGGCCATATATTGACCATAGCAATGTTCTGATTATGATCTGGTCTACTAGAGGACTACAGAGAGAGAATGTGTTCACTGGTCAATAAGTATCTAGTATGCTTAATATAAGTCTCATTATAATCTTTATAATCATCATTAAAATATTTTAAATTGGCACTCTTTTATGTATCAGTTTTTTTCAGTGAGTGGTGAGTGTTAGAGGGAATTTTGGGATTTCCAAAACTCAGGTCCAGACCCTGGTTCAAAGTGTAAGTGGCAAAGTAATGCCATTTTTGTGAGGCTTCCTGGTAGAAGCCTTCACTGGATAAATCCCCTCTACTGGGAAACATCTGCATGATAGACCTGTTTATATAAAGTGCAGTGAAGAGCCAAACTTACATATTGGTTTCCCTTTGTACAAATTTCTCTTCTTTCCCCTTCTAAAGCAGCATTCATTACATTTCTTAAGTGCTTTGCCTAAAATTTCAAAGTTTGGTGTGATTCCCAGACTGGGACATCCCTGGGCACAGATGCTGCATGTGGAAGGCTTTTGGCAATCAGTGGCTTGCTTGGTAGCCATGATTCCATTTGAATCACTCCCTCGTGGATCACATGAAACACATTCTCACAGTATCCCAGACATATTCTGGGGAATCATTGTATTTTCCACCTTACTGGACTAGTTTAGAGGCCTTTGGGTTTCACTGCACTTTTCTTCATTTCCTTCTTTTGTTGATCTTGGCTCTTTAACCTTCCACCCACTTTATTACTCATTTCTTAGGGACCTGACTACTTAATCACTGAGAAAATATATCTGAAACCATATGGGTTTGAGTACAACAGACTTAAGAGAGGGGAAATAAAAAGGAAAAAAATGTGTGTTCTCTGAACTTCCTTTGTTTATATGATCTGTTTATATGTTGTTAAGGTTATGTTATCCAGCTGCCTCCCCACATTTCAGAAATGACTAAAGATATCTGGAAGACACTCTTAACAGGGTCATGTTGGCATAGTGAATGAAAGGACACTTCATTTGTCCCTCACCAGATAATATATCTTCTTTTGAGGCATGGGAGCATGCCAAGAGCTTTATATGCTGAATCTCAAGGTTCTTGAAAGGGCATTGACTTCTAGGGATACTTTTAGAAAGAAGCCAGTTGACTTTTAGGGATACTTTTAGAAAGAAGCCAGTCAGGGACTGGGCAGGGTGGCTCATGGCTGTAATCCTAGTAGCACTTTGGGAGGCTGAAGTGGGCAGATCACTTGAGGCTAGGAGTTCAAGACCAACCTGGACAATATAGTAAAACCCTGACTGTGCTAAAAATGCAAAAATTAGCTGGGCATGGTGGCATATACCTGTAATCCCAGCTACGCGGGAGACTGAGGCACAAGAATCACCTGAACCCGGGAGGCATGGGCAACAGAGCGAGACTCTGTGTCAAAAAATAATAATAAGCCAGTCAAGTGAGTTCCTTTAGGTATATACCTGGCCATTTTAATGTTCGCTCACTGTGGTTAGTCTGTATGGTATCTAACAGGCATTATAGTTTTATTTTGGTGAAATGAACATTGGCAATGGTGTGAGGCGCTGTTAGTAGCCCTGAAAGCCCAGACTCTAATCTGGTCTTTATATAATGTGAATTAAAACTTAAGTACACTTGAGTCAGGGTTATTGAGTAAAACATGTAGAATGGAATTTTGTGGTATTTATTAGAGCTGTTGCACTTGTAAACACCTTAAGTTGAAGGAACTGAAAAGAGGTAATAAGCATTCCTGCAGTAGAATAAAGTGCATACTCTGGTTGAGTGAGAAGTTCCTCTCTACCTTGCATGCTTTACCCACTGTACTGGGTAATGTATATACAGAGATGTTTTTCCCATCAAGCTATTTATGGAAATTGGCCTGCTAAATAACAAACTTGGAAGTGAGAATAAGTAAGAATAAGGAATAAAACATCAGTGTTATCTTTTGGAAATGAATTATTCCATTGAACATGGAGAATGTGGTAGTTGTGTCGTCAGCATTTTCTTCATATTTCCACCTCTGGAATGATCCTGGCTCCGGTTTGCTGCTGCTACGCTTTCCTTTTACTTGCTGTTTTACTAGGCCTCCTTAGCAGCAACACCTGAAATAACTGCTGAGGAAGCTCCTAAGTGAATTCTCCTAATTTGCTTCTCAATTCTCCCAGTTGATTGAATCACTCTTTTTCTTGAGTGCTTTGCAGTCCTACGTAAGTGGCTGATGTTTGGGGTCACTACTGAATGTTTTGTTTGAATATTCCTTTCATGATGAATGGAAAGTTGCTGCTTTTAGCTCTATGGGGTGACGCCCTTGGTGGTAAGCCTTGAAAGGCAAAAATTGTTTTTCATAGTGATATGCTAAATGAAATTATTCTCTTTGTCACATTGTCCTTTTATCCTTTCAGTCTGATAACTTCAGTTCTTGTGATTTGTTTGTTTTCTTCAATTAAGCTTAGCTGTTTCCTGTACTCAGGTGCATGCTATTTCAGCTTTTGGTTATGATGGTATGTGGAGCATATTTCTGACCTGGAAGTGTGGTTTCTTTGACTCAGGACCACATCAGCATGCCTTCCATCCTGTACTTCCTTTGCATATTTCCTTTTGGAGGGCTCAATTTGCCATCATTTAATCTACAGATGATTCATCTGGGACTGAGAACTGGTAATGTTGTAATAACAATACTTTTCTTTATATAATACTCAGTGCACTTACTACCTTAGCCTTTCTCTGTTTATGAAGCACTTTCATTTTAATCCCTCACAATAACCCTTTGGGTTAAGTCAGCAATTTTGTCTTTGTCTAAGATGGTGAAATTGTAGCTCAAAGAGGTTAAATAACTTGCTCAGAGTGGCAGTGCTTCTGAGTTACTCTGCTTAACAGTTTCTACAGGAAATGAAGAATGCTTTTGAAGATACTCTGGATAAATAAAAAGGAATTTTCTAAACCACATCCCAATTGTTAAAACCTAACTTGTTTTCAGTCTGGTCAGTTGATAAGACCAAGGTTAAAAGGCCCATTCACCATACAGTTTAAATTGATGTGTCCAAGTCAAGGAAATAAATATGTAGGTCAGTTTCTATTCTGTTGTTTAAATGATAAAGTTCAGGAAGGCTGGCTTCTAAATTAGTGGAACTTGAACTGGAAGTAATTAAGCCATTAATTTTGTTTTTAAATTCTCTCTTCCTTTCAGAGGGATGGAAAACTTGATGACTAGTTCCACTCTACCGCCCCTTTTTGCAGATGAAGATGGCTCCAAGGAGAGTAATGATCTGGCTACCACTGGGTAAGCACATGTTTGGGGACATTGGACCGCTCCATAGGCATCAAAACAAAGCTTCTAACCAAAGAAGAGGTCCTAAAGAGGCAGTTTGATATGATAAGAATAGAGGGTGCATTTGTTTCACTTTGAAAAGAGAGTGACAGCCATCATAAACCACTTTATAATCTGCATTCAATTATCTTGTGCAGTGCTCCGGGTTTTCTGAACTGGTACAACAATATGTGGGATTTAGCAAACATTGGTGACTCCAGTTAAGGAAATTATATAGTCACCATTAAGGAAATACCTGCCGTAAAGCTAGCTCTACAAAAAAATGCATTTTCTGTTCAAATTGCCACAGATATTAAAATAGTCTTTTCCTAAAGATCAGATTTTTTTAATATGGTTTTTTATTCCAGATGCTTAGGAACTTTAGCTGACTTCTGTTCCTTTTCCCACTCCACCCCCTTCTCCTTCCATGGAATCTCTGGACAAATATGTAAAGAAATATAGAAAAAGGTTAATAACAGTAGTCCACCTCTTTTCTTGAAAATCTCTGTTCCACTTGGATTTTTATCTTTTCTAGATAGTTAGAAAATATTTGCCAAAGAGAAAATGTGTTCACTAATAAAGTGCTAGCTAATCCCTAAGATGAATTATTTTAATATTCTTTAGGGCTTTTTAAAAAATAGACTAAACTTTATAATTCTGTTTCGTTCCCTCACATTTATTTCTCACTTCATTAATATCTGCCTTTTGACCTCACTACTCAGATGAAAATGTTCTCCAAGACTATTTTAAAGGCTGCTTAGTTACTTATTCATTCAATAAAAACTTTCTAGTGTCTACTGTGTGCCATTGTTCCAGGCATTAGATATAAAGCATTGATCAAAACAGATAAAAGTCCTAGCCCTTTAAAGTTTAAATTCTACTGTTGAGTCAGACAATAAACAGGATAAATTTTAAAAAGTGGAGAAAAGGTATAGGAAGGGGTTGGGGATGTAGTTTTAGACAGGATGGGTCAGAGAGTGTTTAATGAGAAAGTGACTTGAATAAAGACCTGAAGAAAATAAGGCAACTAGCATGCAGTTTTCTGTGGAAGATTATGGGAGCAGTAGGTGCAAAAGCCCTGAGGCAGGAGAGTTTCCATCTTATCAAAATAGCCAAGAGGCCAGTGTGACTAGAGCAGCACATAGCTGCAGGAGAGGCAGTAGTTCCTCTCAAACATACGAATTGCCTAGACAGATGATGAAAATGCAGATTCTGATTTAGCAAATCTGACTTAGGATCAGAGAGTCTACATGTCTAACAAGCTCCCAGAGAATGCCAGTTCTGCTCGTATGAGGCCCATACTTTGGGTAAGAAGAAACTAGATCATAGGGTTCGAAATATTATTTACAGATCAAAATAAACCCTTTAACTTTTACTCTGAATGAAGTGGGAAAGCATTGGAGGGTTTCAAAAAGAAAGATATGATCTGACTTACTGTTTAATAAACTCCCTCTGTTGTATTGAGGATAGAGTGAAGGGAGCCGGGGCTGGAACAAGGACACCAGTTAGGAGGCTCTTAAAATAATTCAGGAGACAAATGATGGCCTGAAGAACCATCATGTGGTGACTTTCGCGAGGTGTTTTTGGTGGAATAGTAAGGATAAAAACCTCATTGGACTGTGTTTCAAAGATAATGGGAATGAGGGGTGGTGAGAAGTATAGAATTTAGATATATTTTGAAGTTATACCAAACATGATTTGCCCGAAAGACCAGGTAAGCAATGTGAGAAGGGAGAAAAAAAGCAGTCAAAAACTACTCAAAGTTTTGGCGTAAGCAACTGGAGGGGTGAAGTTGCCATTAGCTTAGAAGGGGAAAACCAAACAAGTGTAGGAGGGAAATTTTAAATTAGAGATGCTTATTAGATATCTAAGTGGAGATGTCAAATAGGCAGTTTGATATCAGGTCCTGCTTTTAGGGGAAGTTTAGGCTAGACAGAGAAAGTTGGGACTTACCAGCATAACTGACCTTTAAAGCCATGAGACTGAATGAGATCACCAAAGAAATGAGCACTCTATAGATGGAAGAAAGAAGAGCTCTAAATCCTGAACTCTGGGATACACCAGCATTTAAAAGTCAGATAGAGACCAGGTGCAGTGGCTCACACCTGTAATTCCAGCACTTTAGGAGACTGAGGTGGGTGGATCACCTGAGGTCAGGAGTTTGAGACCAGCCTGGCCAACAGAGTGAAACCCCATCTCTACTAAAAATACAAAAATTAGCCAGGTATGGTGGCATGTACCTATAATCCCAACGACTCAGGAGGCTGAAACAGGAGAATCACTTCAACCCAGGAGACGGAGGTTGCAGTCAGCTGTGATTGTGCCACTGCACTCCAGCCTGGGTGACAGAGCAAGACTCTGTCTCAAAAAAAAAAAAAGAAAGGTGGACAGAACAGGAAGGGTCAACAGAGTCTAAAGTGAGTTGCTAGAAAGGTAACAGAAAAGCCAGAGGAGTGAGGGGTCCTGGAACCCAAGTGAGAAAAAAAAAGATATTTCAAGGGAGGAAAAAAATCAACTGTATCAGATACTTCTGGTACATCAGGTAAGATGGTGGCTGAGAAATGACACTGGATTTAGCATGGGGGTCATTGGTGGCTTTGACAAGACTTATAAGCACATATCTCCCTTGAAGTGGGTTTAAGCAAGGAGAGAAATTTAAGTCAATACATATAAACAAGTTCTTTCCAGGGGTTTTGCTATAAAGGAAAGAAGAAAAATTGGGACCTCAACTGGAAGTTGGATTGAGTTTTTTTTCTTTTCATTTAGTTTCGTGCTAAGAGAATTAATATACGTATATGCTGATTAGGCTGATCCTATGGAGAGAAAAGCATTGGTGTTGCCAGGAAGGACAGAATTGCTGAAAATCTGCCCTTTGGTTTGTAGGCAAGAGGGTGTGAGATCAAGGGTGCAAATAGAAGAGTTGTTGTCTTTAGCTAGGAACATGGATAGTTTATTCATGGTAACAAAAGATCTCCTTTTTTTTCCTAGTCTTCAACATGTCATCAAGAAGGCATGTGATGCTTTTGACCATTCCTGCCCACTTAAGTCAGGGATTCATGGGATTGCTACTCTTTCCCAAACCTAGTTCTCTTATTTTACTAAATAAGAATGTACAAGAATTAATAACTTAAAAACTGATGGCACAGTTGAAATGAGAATGACAGTGAAAGAACAAGTTGCTTAACACATCCAAAATGATTGAAATATTTAGAAAACAGCACTGCAGAGATCACACTGGATCTCGATGGTACCGCTTTTCAGAGAAAATGATCTGCATTGATTTCATAGCTTCTTTTACATACTCTTTTTTAGGACCTCAAAAATGTGGGAATCTCATGCTAAAATTATTTATGTTTCCTAGAAAGGGTCAGAAAAGTATAATTTCTTTCATTCCCAGGGCAGTCTGCTTCCTGTTTTCATTTATTTCTCAGTCCACTGTAATCTAGTATTTATTTTCCTAATTCCACTAAAACTATACTTCCTAAAATTGCCAGTGACCTTCATAGCAGATACTTTTTGGCCTATCTTATTTAACATCTGCAGCTTTTTACTTGATTAGCTACCTTCTCAAAAGTCTTCCTTCCTTGGCCTCTGCAATAGTCTTCTCTCCAGGTCTCTTAATGTCTTCTCAGTCTCTTCTCTTGGTTTTTCTACCTCACTCCTGTAACGATATAGCTTTAGCCGAGTTCTATCCTGACTTTTCTTTCTTCTCACTGCCTTTCTAGAGAGTATCTAGCACTGCCCATTATTTCCATCTTTGTACCCTTTTGTGCATTCTTTCAGAATAATGACTAAATATTACTCTATTACCCATCTTTTTACCACTCTTGCCTTCCCAACTCCTCCCCCAATCAAAAAACAAAAACAATAATACTAGCACATGTTACCTTTTCTTCTATTCCTTTGTCCACATGTAATAAGGTAAGTCCATCTAAGACCCTACCATCATCTGTACCTTCTTGTATTCACTCTTCAGAAGGGTGAGATCTGGTTTGCTAACTCATCTGGAACGTAGTGGGAGCAGGAAATCAGTACATCTCTCTGATTTATTAACATGTATACCTAAACCTACTGAACTTAATAACATTGTTCTTAGATGACCTGATTGTCAGTAAATGCTATAATCTAAGAAGAAATAGCCAATGAAATGTACCATTAAGAGATTTTTCTTACACCCTTTAAGAACTCTTTTGTGATAGTTGGCAAACTGCCTCTACAACCCCCATTCCTATTCACTTTTTTCGTTAATAGTGTTTTTCCTTTACCTTGGAGATACATGAAAGGTAGCATTTAAATCAGATTCTATTGCATGTTCAGAAGTAAAACATGAAGTCACACCACTGCACTGTTGAGGGGAGATCATCTTTTCGGAAAAAGATTGTAGTTGTTTTTGGTAGGAGATGTCTTCATGGAACTGACCTGGTTTAATCAAGCACTGCAACCAGTTTTTTAAAACACTCTGTAACTTCTGTGAAGACATTTTTTTCATTTATACAGACTATTGGGAGAATTAACTCAAGGACTGGCATGTTCTTTTGCTGGCAGGGAAATTTGTCTAGAACCTTGGTAAATAGGTTGAGTTTTTGTGTTGTTGATACTTTCGTCTATTCAGGTTAAATCACCCAGATGTTCCATACAGTAGTGGTGCCACATCATCCACCAACAATCCAGAATTTGTGGAGGATCTCTCCCAAGGTCAGTTGCTTCCGAGTGAGTCTTCAAATGCAGCAGAAGGCAATGAACAGAGGCATGAAGATGAGGTAAGCTGAAGTATCTCTTTCTGTTCTGCCTTCTGAAACTCCTGAAGAAACAGTCACAAGGAAGGTATGTTGATCAAGGTGCTCATCATCTGACCTTCCTACATTCTTAAGCTGATAACCTGTAAAATTTTCTGTTTTCTATTTCTTGTTTTATACAAAACAATATTAACGATTTTAGTGACACAGACAGGTAGCCTCTTTTTTCCCTGTTCCCTAAGAAATTTATACCAACTCATATTAGATGATCAACAAGTACTTGTTGAGTGAGTGAATTATTTAACCATTAGTAAGTAATTAACGAGAAGTGTACATGCCCTTGCTTAAGGCCACACTCTGCTTACCAAGTCCTGCTGCATGGAGTCCTCTGTGCCCAAAGTCCTCATACTACTTACCAAGTCCTTTACCCTCCCATGGTACCTTTCCCTACCCCACACAAAGGTATATGAGCCAGGGCAGTCATGTCCTGGTTGGACTTTCAGTGTTTCTTGCAAGTAACTGATTACATTGTCAATGTTTTAAAGCACTCTTTTATTTTTATTTTTTTTAGCCGAAAAGAATACCACTATTGATTTTTGTCTTGTTTCTTATTTTTAAAATGCTGGCTAGGCACGTGCTTTCTGCCTGTAATCCTAACACTTTAAGAGGCCAAAGCGGGCAGATCACCAGAGGTCAGGAGTTCAAGACAAGCCTGGCCAACATGGTGAAATCCCATCTCTACTAAAAAATACAAAAGTTAGCCAGGTATAGTGGCACACACCTGTAATTCCAGCTATTTGGGAGGCTGAGGCAGGAGAATCGATTGAACCTAGGAGGCGGAGGTTGCAGTGAGCCGAGATCACACCACTACACTCTAGCTACAAAGCAAGACTTCATCTCAAAAAAAAAAGCAGCTAATTTTTTCATCTATCCTGTTGGCATTTTAAAAGATTATAATGAATGCTTAAAGCTTCTTATATCTCTTAAAATCCAAATAACTTTTTTTTTTGAGGTAGAGTCTTACTCTGTTGCCCAGGCTAGAGTGCAGTGGCATGATTTCAGCTCACTTGCAACCTCCACCTCCCTGCTTCAAGCTTTTCTCTTGCCGCAGCTTCCCAAGTAGCTGGGATTATAGGTGCATGCCATCATGCCCAGGCAATTTTTATATTTTTTAATGGGGTGGGGTTTCCCCATGTTGGCCAGGCTGGTCTCAAACTCCTGACCTCAAGTGATACACCTGCCTTGGCCCTCCAAAGTGCTGGGATTACAGGTGTGAGCCACCCTGGCCAGTCCACAGTAGCTTCAGTGTAACTAGGATTTTTTTTGTTTTTTTTGTTTTTAAACTAATACCAAATGCATCATTTGCCCAATGGTGAATTATCATACGTTTTATATGTATTTGGAAGAGTAGATTACTACAATTAGTATTTAGATGTTTTTGTTCCTGTTTATTTCTTTATCTTTCTCTTGTCTAAAATAAGAATTCTTGTATCCATAAAACATTAACTGATAGGGCTGTATGTATTTGTAAAATTAGAAAGTAAAAATATGATGTGCCTTAAATCTTATTGAAAGGGCCCAAGAAAAAATGCTGTGGTGAGACATCAGTGTACTTCAGTCCTTTTTGTTTCTTTAGTTTTTTTTCAGAGATGATTCAGTCTTTTGATTTAATTGGTAACTCAACATACAAAGACCTCTAACTATAAAATGTACATCTAGGCCAGGCGCAGTGGCTCACGCCTATAATCCCAGCACTTTGGGAGGCTGAGGCAAGTGGATCACCTAAGGTTAGGAGTTCGAGACCAACCTGACCAACATGACAAAACCCAATGTCTACTAAAAATACAAAAATTAGCTGAATGTGGTGGTGCATGCCTGTAATCCCAGCTACTTGGAAGACTGAGGCAGGAGAATCACTTGAACCTGGGAGGCAGAGATTGCAGTGATTGTGCCATTGCACTCCAGCCTGGGTGACAAGTGAAACTCTATCTCAAAAAAAAATTAAAATAAAATATACGTCTAAAGGAACAGATTGTCAAGCCAAAGACTAGTAGTCTTCATTTGGATATATTACTGAAATGTTTCTGAGACTTAGATATTAATTTAATATTCCATATGCTATCTGCTATGGTAAACAAACTAGTCTTTGAAAGTTATCAATGAGCAACTCATGAATTATTTTTAATCATGAGTTATTTTTAATCTCTGCTACAACTTGTCTCTTCCTTTGCATGGTGCATGTGACACCATCTTACTTTGATCTGCTGACAACGTCTGCCTCTCTGACACAGTGCTGCATGTGCTGTTGTATTTCCCATTTGGATACTCTCCTGTCAGGAATCAGGACCTGACAGTTGTCTGCAGGACAGTCATATCCATATGAAAGTCAAAGTTGGGTGATCATGGCACCTCTTATTCGCATACGTTGAGATTAGCATAAAAATTGCCCTTTAGTGCAACATTTTGTAGTGTGGTACATAAAAGAGTTTGCAAGTGAAACATCTGGAGTTGCTCAGAAACTGCACTGCTGTCATTTGTATAATACCTACAACAGATATGGAGAGCTTTGAATATCCAGGGCCAAATTGCGACTCTTAATCCTGTTTTGTTTGTTGTTTATTTTTGTTGTTGTTGGGTATTTGGGGAGGTGGTGGTTGTTTGGTTTTTGGTTTTTTATTTTGCTTTGTTTTGTAGCAAAGAAGTAAACGAGGAGGCTGGTCCAAAGGAAGAAAGAGGAAGAAACCTCTTCGAGACAGCAATGCACCCAAATCCCCCCTTACAGGGTATGTTCGGTTCATGAATGAGCGTCGAGAACAGCTTCGAGCAAAGAGACCAGAAGTCCCATTTCCAGAAATCACAAGGATGTTAGGCAATGAATGGAGTAAACTGCCTCCTGAGGAAAAACAGGTACTTGTTCTTATTCGTGACCTTTTGTTTGGTTTCTATTATATCTCAGAAATAACTTCTATAAGAAAAGCAAAGAGGATGGACAGTTGATTCTGCAATTTTGTCACAGTGCCTGGGAGACCAGAATAACAGGGTCCATCATAGCAATTTTCTCTAGCTTAGTGATTTTTAAACTATTTGCTAGAAAGGTGTGAGCAAGAACGGAGTCTAGGACTCCCCTCAACCAAAGCAGCACACTTTTTATACACTGCGTTCACATAAGATTTTTTTAAGTGGTTCAATATTAAGAAATTAAAGAATCTATCAATAAAATATATTCCACTGAGTTAAATGAAGTCTTGAATTAAATGAGAAAAAGTTACTTGACCAATTTCTTCAGTTCACATAAGATTTTTAAGAAAAAAATGTTGCTGCTTTAATGCATTTTTTTAACTGGCGTTCTGGCAAATTCACCTATTATGGAAAATAAAGCAAGAGTGACTTGAATTCTTTCCCTCTAGGACAGAAACTAACCTGATTGCCAAACTGAAGTGAATCCATTTGTTAGAGAGATTTGAGGGGAATTAAGGACAAGATAGCCATGAGCTGGTTGGGATACCATCAAAGCAGAGTAATGGTCATGACTGTGGGAGTTGCTGTGGGTTAAAAGTTCCCAGCATTCCCAGCATCTGAAAGATATCTATATTTCTTTTATGTCTTAAACTGTTTTATGACTTACACTTTTTAGAAAGGATTCCAGACACTAAGACCAAATTGAGAAATACTCTCCTGGGAATTAATTGAATTCAGAAATTTTCAAAGAGATCAGATTAAGTTGCAACTCGAAGCTCTGTGTTTGTGGTAGCAAGCTAGGAGAAAGCAGTGAATGTCATCCATTGTTTTGGCACCACTATAGAAAAGGATAGTGTGCTGTACATACTATGTTATTCTTTTCTTTTTTTTTTTGCTTTATTAATAAATGCATGCTTATTATTTAGATTCTTTTCAGAAAATACAGAAGTATATAAACAAAAATGCAAAAAAAACAGTGTTTATCTCATGGGATAACCACTATTACATAGAACAAAGCTTTTGTGTTAGTTTTTGTTTTTTTTTAATTTTTTATTTGGAAATAATTCCAAATGTACAAAAAGTTACAAAAACATAAAAATAGTACAAAGAACATCCAAACACTCTTTGCCCAGATTCATGTGTTAACACATTTTAGTCCATTTCTCCATTTGCATATGCACTTACAATATGCTGAGTCTTTCTTATACTTTTACATGCTCAGTCTTTCACATACACACACACACACACACATGCATGCATGTGTGCATCCAGACACACACAAAATTTTGTTTTAGTCATGTGAGGATAAATTATACACATTGTAGCCCTTTACCCACAGAATATTTCACTGTGTATTTCTAAGAATATTTTCTTACGTAACCGTAGTATAGTTATGAATATCATAATTTTGTATTAGCAATACTTTAATCTGTCATCCATATGTTGGCCTAATGTCATTTCTTTATAACATTTTTTCCTTTCAGTACAGGTTCCAGTCTAGGTTTTGTGTTTAGTAGTCTAGTCTCTATAGTTTAAACTGGGACGTTTCCAGTCTTTGTCTTTTATAACATTGATATTTTTTAAAAATACAGTTCCCTTCTGCTTTCCTCACTTCTTTTACTTTTGACAGAACACTGCTCATTGTGTATGTTTCAGATGTTTCCTTGTGATTAGATTAAGGTTATGCATTCTTGGTAGGATTACTTGCGTAGGCAGTGGTATGTACCCAGTATATCACATGTGCAGGTACACAGTGTTCTTTTGTTTCTCATTGGTGATGTTAATTTTGCTTACCTGGTATATTATTTAAATTCTTTTGTCATTAATAAGTGGTCTAGGGGAAGACTTATAAGACATGCAAATAGCCTGTTCTACATCAACATTTTCCCCTAGATTTAGCGTCTATTGATTATTTTTGCCTGATTTAATCTTTATCATTATGGTTACAATGTGAAGAGTTTTCCAAGTCCAGCACTCTTTTCAGGTTTACCAGTTAGCCTTCAGCATTCTAATCTTAAGCAAGATCTCAGCTTACGGCAACCTTGACCTCCTGGGCTCAAGCAGCCCTCCCACCTCAGCCTCCTTAGTAGCATACACTACCGAACCT